GAGTTCGAGGCGCTCTACGAGCGCTACGAGGCCGAGGGCCGCGCGCGCAAGGCCATCCCCGCGCAGCAGCTCTGGTTCGCCATCCTCGACAGCCAGGTCGAGACGGGCACGCCCTACATGCTCTACAAGGACGCCTGCAACGGCAAGTCGAACCAGAAGCACCTGGGGACGATCAAGTCGTCGAACCTGTGCACGGAGATCGTCGAGTACACGGCGCCCGACGAGATCGCGGTCTGCAACCTCGCGTCCATCAACCTCACGGCCCACGTCGAGGGCTCCGGCGACGCCGCGACCTTCGACTTCGCCAAGCTCAAGCGCACGGCCTACGTCGTCACGAAGAACCTGAACAAGGTCATCGACGTCAACTACTACCCCGTGGAGGAGGCCAAGTCGTCGAACCTCAAGCACCGGCCCATCGGCATCGGCGTCCAGGGCATGGCCGACGCTCTGGTGAAGCTGCGGTACCCCTACGAGTCCGACGACGCGAAGCGGATCAACAAGGACGTCTTCGAGACCATCTACTTCGGCGCCATGGAGGCGTCCATCGACCTCGCCCGGGAGCTCGGGCCCTACGACTCCTACGAAGGGTCGCCGACGTCCCAGGGCCTCTTCCAGTTCGACCTCTGGAACGTGAAGCCGTCGGACCGCTGGGACTGGGAGGGGCTGCGCGCGCGCCTCGGCGAGCACGGCTGCCGCAACTCGCTCCTCCTCGCGCCCATGCCCACGGCGTCGACGGCGCAGATCCTCGGCAACAACGAGTCCTTCGAGCCCTTCACGTCGAACATGTACACGCGGCGCGTGCTCGCGGGCGAGTTCGCCGTCGTCAACAAGTACCTCCTCCAGGACCTCATCGCGCGGGGCCTGTGGACGTCGGAGATCCGGAACCAGATCATCGCCGACAAGGGCTCCGTCCAGGGCGTCGCGGCCATCCCCGACGACCTCAAGGCGCTCTACAAGACGACGTGGGAGATCAAGCAGAAGTGCGTCCTCGACATGTCCGCGGACCGCGGCGCGTTCATCTGCCAGTCCCAGTCCCTGAACCTCCACATCGCGGACCCGAACCCGGGCAAGCTCACGTCCATGCACTTCTACGCCTGGAAGAAGGGCCTCAAGACGGGCATGTACTACCTCCGCACGCGGCCCAAGGCCGACGCCATCGCCTTCACCGTGGACCAGGCCATGGCGGCCAAGAGCCGCGGCGGCGCCGCGCTCAAGCCCGCCAACGGCCAGCAGGAGGAGGAGCACGAGTGCCTCTCCTGCGGCGCCTAGGCGCCGCGACTCCGCCCCGGCGCGAGACGCCCGCGACCCCCGCGACAAGCGCGGGGCACGCCGAGGAATCCCCCCCCACCCAAGCCCTAACCTCCGTCGCACCTTCCGGGTCGAGGCCGATGTCGGCCCGCGCGACGCCCGGCGGCCGCGCCGCGCTGGACGCCCAGTTTTTTTTGTGCTCGTTGCCGTCAAGAATTTAGTCGTCGCTGAAAAACTCCACTCTTGCTGCCCGAGAGCGCGAGCCGCCGCGCCGTCGCCGCGCGCACCGGCGAGCCACAGCACGCAATCATGGCATCCTTCGGCGCTGGGAGCGCCGCCGCTCCTGCCTTCGACGGCGAGCGGCTCATCCTCGTGGGCACCTACGGCCAGGACCTCGGCTTCGTCCAGGGCCAGGGCGCCGGCGTCTACGCCTTCCGCCTCGACGGCGCCGGCGAGTTCGCGCCGGCCATGTTCCAGAACCGGCCGCTGCTGCCGTCGAGCGCCGTGGGCCTCAACCCGAGCTACCTCTGCGCGTCGCCGGCGTTCAAACACGTCGTCTACGTCACGGACGAGCGCGCGGACCTGCCGCGCGGCGGCCGCGTGACCGCCGCGCGCGTCGACCTCGACGCCGCGGGCGGCTCGCCGACGGCGACGGCGCTCGGCGCGCCGCTCGCCTGCGGCGCGACGTCGACGTGCCACGTGAGCGCGACGGCGACGGCCGTCTTCGTCGCTAATTACTGCGGCGGCGGCGCCTCGACGACGGGCAGCGCCGCGGCCTTCCGCGTCGACGGCGCGACGGGCGCGCTCGTCGGGACGGCCGGCGCCGCGTCCGACGCCGCGCGGCTGACGGCCCTGCCGCCGGCCGGGGGGCCGGCCTTCCCGCGCGCGGACGCGGGCGCGTCGGCCGAGCGGCAGGACACGGGCCACGCGCACATGGTGTTGCTATCGAAGGACGAGTCCGCCGTGCTGTGCCCGGACCTCGGCGCGGACGCCGTCTACCGCGTCGACGCGGCCGCGGGCGCCGCGGAGCTCTGCTGTGTTTTAGCGGCCGGCGACGGCCCGCGCCACGCCGCGTGGCACCCGACGCTCGACGTGCTCTACGTGCTCTGCGAGCTCTCGTCCGTGCTCCGCGCGTTCCGCGTCGACGGCTCCGGCCGCGCGCTCGGCGACGGCGCGCCCTTCTCCAGCGCGCGCGCGCTGCCGGACCCGTGCTACCCGGCCGGCGGCGGCCCGCCGGCGAGCCCGCCGTCGACGTGCGCGGCGCTCGTCGTGCACCCGTCGGGCCGGTTCGCCTTCTGCTCGAACCGCGCCGTCGGCGTCGACGGCCTCGTGACGCGCTTCGACCTCGACGCCGCGGGCGCGCCGGACGCGGCCGTCCACCTCTCGTCGGGCGGTTTGACGCCGCGCGAGCTCGCCTTCGCCGGGCCGAGCGGCGAGCTCCTCCTCGTCGCGAACCAGGACGACAACGCCATCACCGCCTACGCCGTCGACGCCGACTCCGGCGCGCTCTCGAAGCGGGGCGCGACGCGGTGCCCGACGCCCGTCTGCCTCCTCGACCTCGGCCCGGCGGCCTTCGCCTTCGCCGACGCGGCGCCCTAGGTAGCAGGGCCCGTAGCGCCGTCGAAGCGGCGTCGCGTGTACACTGCGGGATGTCGCCGGGGCGAGAAGAGTGTCTCGAGCGATATGATTGGCCAGTCCCAATTCACCGAAAAACGTTGCTCCCTGGCGAAAGAACAAACCACAGGCAGCCCGCGCCACCGACGTCGACCATGCTCAAGAAGGAGCGCTCCGGGAGGGGCATCGTGAACAAGGGCAAGGACCTCGACCGCCCGTCCATCGCCGAGGAGACGAAGAACCACGTCGCCGACTCGTTCCACGTCATCAAGAAGCACGGCTACCTCGAGAAGCTGAGCCGGGGCGCCATGGCCGGCTACCAGAAGCGCTACTTCGTGCTCAGCGGCCCCTACCTCAAGTACTACAAGACAGACCAGCGCAAGGAGCTGTTAGCCGCCGTCGACGTGCGGCCCGTGCTCCTCGAGGTCGGCAGCGACGCGCGCATGAAGGCCAAAACGCTCTCGCTCCGGCTGCCGCACGAGGACGCGCGCTTCGTGCTCCGCGCGGAGAGCCCCAAGGACCGCGACGCCTGGCTCCGGGCCATCGCCGAGGTCCAGGTCGAGGCGAAGCGCGACTCGAGTGCGACCTGGGCCGACAGCGACAGCCTCAAGATCGTCGCCGGCGGGGCCGAGGGCGCGAAGGCGGACGCGCTCCTCGCGGCCGCGCGGGCCCGGGGCCGCGCGGACCTCGAGAGCCCCCGGGCCTCCGAGGCGCGCGCGTCGACCTTCGACGGCCGCCACGTGTCGTCGCTGACGGCCGCGTCCGTCGTGCCCGTCGCGTCTTCGTGCGACACGTCGCTCCTCACGTCCGTCGCGACGGCGCCCGCGGGCCGCGCCAGCGCCGCCGAGGCCGCGGCCGCCGAGCCCATCGACCTCCGCGACTCCCTCTCCCGCGAGCGGTCCTACTCCGCCAAGACAGCGGACGGCAAGGCGCCGCCCGCCGCGCCGGCGACGCCGCCGCCCGCGGCCCTCGGCCCGCCCTGCCTCTCCTTCTTCGGCTGCTAGGGCGCGAAGCTAAGTCCCCCTGTGCACGTTGGCTGGGTTGGCTCCGACCCTTCGGGGGAACCGGGGGCCTGGTAGAGGTAAGATGAGTGCAAGGAGCTCTCGATTCTGCGAGCTGTTGTGGGTCGCGCAACGTGAAGCAACGTCGACATGTTGATAAGTAGAAATAAATGTAAGGTAGTTTGCGCTCGTTCGGACGACAAGATATCGGATCGGACGGTGGATAAAAGGCGTCGAAGCTCGAAGAGCATGGACGAGTTTTCAGCGGAGATCGTGCCAGAGCGCAGCCCCATCCACAGTAGCAGCTACCATGCCATTGGCTTTATGCTCCGCATGCATCACGCGGACGCACCGGTGAAAACGCGACGTCCGGGCGATTGCGAGGCGACTCAAACGGGGGGGATCAATGGCTCGGAAGCGACGCGCAGCCCCCTCGCGACCCCATAAAGCTAGTTTCAGAGCCCTCGCAGCGTCGGGAATCGTTCATCAACAGCCCCGTTGCGTCCGGTCGCAAGGGCTTGTTGCAGAGCTTCGACATCGTCGAACTCTCCTGGTCGGGCTCGGACGCCGCGGCGCATCCCGTCGACTGGCGTCACCCATGCGCAGCGACAACACCCCGTGGGGAAGAACGCCGCCGCGGACTCATCCCTCGCCCGATGGAGGACGGTTCCGTGACAGTCCCACGAGGTGGGACCGACCTCGCGACCCACCGGCGCCGGATCAGGTGGCCCGAGGGGCGAGGCTGCCCCCGCGCGACGTGACGATGTTGGTCCCACCTCGTGAGAGCGCAACACTCACACATTCGACATGTGTGCGCAGGCGACGGTCGTGGTCTCACGAGGTGGGACCGACCTCCAAACCCCGAACAGGGCTGCTTTAGACGCGCCCATCCCGCAAGACCTAATCGCGCTGCGACGGCAATAACGAAGGAAGCAAGATGTTGGACATTCAATATCTCTTCAGCGTTCATCATCGATTTTTTCGGACAAAGGGTTACGCGACCCACAGCTGTGAGTGATATGGTTGCGCCCGAGCCGTGCGAATCGCGCCTGAGCTGTTAGTGTCGCATCGCTGCGCCTGAGCCGTGCGAATCGCTGCGCGCCCGGAGCTGTAGGAGCTTCGCGCCGGAGTGAGTGCATGGTGCGCGGCGCGCGCGCCGCCGCGCTGTGCGTCGCGGCGGCCGCCGCCGCCCGGTGGTGCGCCTTCGTGCTCGCGCCTCTGCCCGTGGGCGAGCCCGCGCGGCCCCTCGACGACGGCGCCTACGACCTCGTCGACGTCGCCGCGCCCGTCGCCGCGGGCTGGCGGCTCAGAGTCCTCGCGGGCCTCTTCCGCGTCGACGCGCTCTACCCGGCGCTCGCGCGGTTCCTGCTCAACGCGAACGGCGTGGACCGCGTGCGGTCGCTCGCGCGCGCCGTGCCCGAGCGCGTGCCGTCGCGGCCGCTGCCGCTCGTGCGCCTCGGCGCCGCCGAGTACGAGCGGCAGGTCGCCGCGGCGGCGGCCTGGTCGCCCGACGTCGCGCCGCGCGCGCCGCGGCGGCGCTGGTCCGTCGAGGACTACGCGCGCGCGTACCGGTCAGGGGCGACGACGCCGGCGGCCGTCGCCGAGGCGCTCCTCGCGGCGGTCCCGCGGCTCGAGGCGGCGCTCGGCCGCGTCTTCGCGCACTGCGACGCCGCGGCGGTGCGCGCGCAGGCCGCGGCGGCGACGCGGCGCCTCGCGGCCGGCGCGCCGCGGTCGGTTTTCGACGGCGTCCCCGTGGCCGTCAAGGACATGATCGCCGTCGCGGGCTTCCCCAAGTACTCGGGCGCGTTCCCTTCCGGCCGGGGCCCGGAGCCGCGCGACGACCCCGTCGTCGCGCGGCTCCGCGACGCCGGCGCGATCGTCGTCGGCGCGACGGTCATGACGGAGTTCGGCATCTCGCCGATCGGCTGGAACGCGCACTACGGCGGCGCGCGGAACCCGTGGGACGCGGACCGCTACGCCGGCGGCAGCTCGACGGGCAGCGCCGTCGCCGTCGCCGCGGGCCTGCTGCCCGTCGCCGTCGGGTTCGACGGCGGCGGGTCCGTGCGCGTGCCCGCCGCGCTCACGGGTTTGTACGGTCTCGCCGCCGGGTTCGCGCGCGTGCCGTTCCGCACGGAGGCGCCGTGCTCCATGACGCACGCGGGGCCCTTCGCGACGACGGCGCGCGACGCGGAGCTCGCGTCAGCGTCCTGCATCCGTGACAATTTCGAGAGATTTCGACCGGGAAAACGATGAAACATCGTTACCGACGCATGTGGTAGGCTCGTGTACGCTCTCATCTCCGCGCCGGCGGCCGACGGCGAGGGCACGCACACGACGACGACGCTCTACCGGCCGCCGCCCCCGTCCGGCGCGGAGCCGCCGCGGCGCATGCGCCTGGGCGTGCTCCGGGGCGCGATCGACGACAGCGAGCCCGACGTCCGGGACGCCGTCGAGGCCGCCCTGGCGGCGCTCGCGGAGGACCACGAGCTCGTCGACGTCGCGATCCCGCACCTGATGACGCTGTCCCTCGCCGGCGTCGCCCGCCTTTCCGGCCCCGCGGGACCGACGCGCCGCGCAGGTCGCTCGCGCACTCGAGA